CCCTTGCTGTATCAATTGAAATTAGTACTGTGTTGTTCTGACGATTTTTCAAAAAAAAATCTACTGCCTGACGTTTAGTTCTGGGACTAAACGTCAGGCAGTTGAAAAATCTCAAAGTGCCGCGTGTGCATGTTTGTGTATACAAACTTGTCGAACAGTATTATTTCGGTCTTAATTACATTTCTCTTGTTGTATTAATTGAAATTACGGTTGTTCTTTCCGACTTTTAAAAAGAAAATTCGCCTGACGTCAGGCTGTCTGACGTTTAGACACTCCGAATAAAAAATACGGCGTTGTGTCTGAAGTTTTGGACGATATAGTTCTTCGCCTTTTTTGTCTAGTTTATATTAATTAATCTTCTAATCAGAAACATCACAGTTTAACAAAAAAAACCCTATCGATTAAAACCCTTGATGACTCTATGCTATTGTCAGCATGCAAAACGTTAAGTGTTAGAAGCGATTTCGTATCAGGTTCTAAGCTTNTGCATTTGGAAAACATCTTTTCAAGACAAAAATAATTGACGCACTAGCTGAAGCGTGCAATTATTCCAATGACAAACATCATTTGTTTTTTTTGTAAAATAAACAAAGATATTTTATCCGCAGTTCCTATAAAAAAGTGTTGATGGCCTCACTGTGGAGTGCTGTTGTTGTTAATGTCATTGAACCGTCTTAGTTTTTAAACTGATCTTCAATAATCCAGTTTCGAATTCTCCAATGCTCTGTGTTAGCCTCATTTGTGCGCGAAATATTCCTAATTGTGAGAATAAAAGTGTGAAATTTTAAATCAATTGTATTGTCTTTCTTTTCAAATTCCATGCGTTTTGTCGGGCTATCATTGAAACAAAAGAATATGTTGCTTGGTTTTGAGGCTAACACAGAGCAAACCAGAACTCGAAATCGGAGTATTGTTTTTGCAAAAACTGAGTATTAAACTGCTTGTTAGCATCCATCCGTCTGTTAATACACTTAAGCCTGAAACGTCCTAAAATAGAGGTTCATCTTATGGTAATTAGAGAAATTGCAAACATAATCGAAAGGCAGATTCGTTTCGCAATTTAACATAGTCACATAAGGTAACAGGTGTTCGGCTTGTGTAAACTGCATCGGTAGAACGAATTCGCATAACCCACTTTTTAAATGCTAATGAGTTTGTTAATATTCTAATGAGATTGTCACAAGAAACAAAAGAGCAAGGCATGCTTGAGTGATTTCAGTAGCGAAAATCAAAATATTATCATTTTGAATGAGCCCAGTTCAATAAATACAACAAATTCAAACGGAAACATTTTTATCAGATGCAAAAAACAACAACAACAACAACAACAACAACAACAACAACAAGCATTGCATACTTCACACAACCCGTCGATAGCATCTAATCAAAACCAATTCTGGACAAAGATGGAGATGAAGTATACTAGGCGCCTAACTCCAAGTCAACGCAAGTCAGATGCTGTTAAAACAAAGATTGCAAATGAGATTGATGACTACTCGTCAGCAAATAGTGATGTCGACGTAAAGAAGGGCCATGGCAAAAAAAAAACGTGCCAAAAGGCCATGAAAACTATGGACTCTGTCCAGAAAATGCTATCAAAAATTGAGAACGTGTTGGACAAGAACAGCAATATTTCCCATTTTCCCTTTAGAAACACCGACGCAGCTCACAATAGTTACCACTGATTATCACTCAAGCATGTTTTTGCTCTTTTGCTTCTTGTGCCAATCTCATTAGAATATTAGCAAACTCATTACGTGGGCTTCCTGTGGAAGTCCACGTCTAAAAATGCAACTGGCTTTTTCGTCGTGGTGGTGAATATTACGCTTCAAATTGGTAGCGCATCGATAGCGCATGCGTTGCAGTCTCAGTTTCCATGGAGATGTCAAAATAAACCAATCAGCGATTTTTGGTAGCGCCTGCGTTACAGATGGACTGCAGTCTCAGAATGAAAACAAAATGGCTGACAGACGGCGGCAAAAAGTTGTCTCGTTTCAAATGGTTCTAAAATGTAGCTAAAATGCTCTAAAGAGCTGAAAATCTTACAAAATCAACTGATTACCATCCAAACGACATGGATTGAGGTATATAACTCAAGATTAGCGGATGATTCGTGCAGAAATGACTGGGCATTTTCTACCGCCGACTCGAAGAGCAGAACTTCTTCGTCACACAAGTGTTCGATGTCAAACACAAAATCTTCAAAAACAAGAAATCACATGGATATTTAAGGTTCATACTTTGACAGAAAACAATCATTCGATGGAATAAAGCATATCAAACCTCATCTGAAAAATATTGATGCCATTTTCTAAACTAACGATGTGTTTGAAGTTCGGAAAACTGCACGTGTGAGCTTTACTGACTGTATACAAAATCTATATTGTGTATGAAGCATTTTAATTCTCTATTGTTTGTTTTGATGATTGTTTAACTTGAAAAACTTAGACAAATCCAAAAAAAATGAACTGTCATTAGAAGGCTGAGGTACACCTTTATGATGGCACAGAACACCAGATTTACAAATTAATGAAAAACACCAAATAAAAAAGAACAGAAACACAAGATACAGATACATGATTCAAATGATCAAAATATTATTCAAAGTTATACTGCCAAGACTGTACCGTTTCTATTGTTTATGTGACCTATATGACCTATCAGATATTTTGAATAATATAGACGCTCTTGAGCGTAAAGTCGAGCTAGTTATTTTGGAAAAATGAGAAAAAAGACATGGTATCCAAAGAATTTACTTAGAGTTCAGTTCGGTAAAAAATTATGATGTAATAAATTGATAACATATTAACTTAATTCTGTCTTGACTTATTACAAACAAAGACTATCTTGTGAAAATGAAACACCATTGTCACAGGAAGCCCACCGTAAGCGATCCATGATCGTCTAGTTAGCATTTAAAAAGTGGGTTGTGCGAATTCGTTCTGGTGTCCCTAATAAAAAACGGAGTGTTTATTTTTTCTTAAAAAATCGTCGAAACAACCTTAATTTCAATTAATACAACAAGGGGAATGCAATAAAGACCGAAATAATACTGTTCGACAAGTTTCAAACACAAGCACGGCACTTTGAGATTTTTCGACTGCCTGACGTTTAGTCCCAGAACTAAACGTTAGGCAGTCGATTTTTTGTGTGAAAAATCGTCGGAACAACCCCTAATTTCAATTAATACAACAAGGGAAATGCAATAAAGACCGAAATAATACTGATAATACTGAGATTTTTTGACTGCCTGGCATTTAGTCCCAGAACTAAACATCAGGCAGCAATTTTTTTTTGTGAAAAATCGTCGGAAATAACCGTAATTTC